AAGGACGTGTGGCTGCTTTGGCAGTTGGACGGAACGGAACAGGTGGGCGAGAGAAGGCAGTAGCCGTGTATTACTGTTAATAAATAGGAGCGTAGAGCTATCTGGGCGCTCGATCCGGCGGGGCTTCGAAGTTCGTTGCTGACGGCCATTGGTGTAACGAAGTGGATCTCATCGGACGGACGCAGCGGAGAGCTACGCAACTTGCTCAACGAGCCGGGCAATATAACAGGCCCGCTACACTACTGCCTTTATTTGTAATCTGTAACCCTTTATTATTCTCATACTTTGGTATTGTATATACTTCAGAATTTTAATACAATAGTTTGATCAATTACAGCAATCTAACAAAGTGTTGCATGAGTGACTTGGACGTACTTGGCACTCCGCTCGCAATTCTTTGATATCAGTGTGATTTACGACTCTGATGATGCGATGGTAGAGGATCCATAACAACCTGAAGAGATGTATGTTTGTACTGCATACATGTAAAATTGAATTTGCTAGTATTTTTTATGCATATTGGAGGACATCTGCGTGACATATTACTAACAGCAGACGTCGAAATGATTTAGAAACCTTTGGCGGTGTTACTGCATTAATCTTAATCACTACTTCTTGTGTTTTGCTTCTTGCTAAAAAAATGTTAGCTTAGAACCGTTTGTTCCCCTATTATTCTAAATATGTATAGGAGAACATACCTTCTGGCTTCAATATGTGGCTCGAGCGTGGGGACTTACTGACTATATAGTGATGTATGGTGGCCTTCTATTTTGCTTAATTACATTTTTCTAAATCGACTTACTAGTAGCAGACGTTGCCACTGTTTAAAGAAAGTGGAACAAACTGTTTCATCAACAAATAATCACCTTATTTCGAAAGAGTGACTAGTTAAGAGTAAATAAAAATCGGGCAACCAAAGATGAGTGCCGTGAGTGATGCACTGCGTCAGCTTTCCAGGGCTGTTAGCACTGCGAAACACTGACCTACGTGGCTCCACTTTGTCAGCACATACTAAGAGGCTACTTCCAGCGAACACGGCCCATGGAGAAATATGTTTTTCCCGTCCAACTTGGATTATAAGCCCAGTCACGTTGGCGACCCCACGAGCCAAGGATGACTCATTGAAGCAATATCTCATTCGGATCCGAATGAATGAATGGGTTCGCGTGGGTGCAAGTTCCAATCGTCGTGAATCGAACAAACTGCGCATTTTTCAGAAGATAACCTCTTGCTGGTACTCTTATCACCACGAACGACGACCGCCTGCTCTTCGTTGACTCGACAAGCATCTCAGTGACCAAGATCTGAAGCATCTCGCTAAGGCGAGTCTTCAATGAATTTCTCCCCCTTCTCTATAGTTTGCGCTGAAAAGGGAATGACTAATCAGGAAGGGAAGAAGGGGAACAGCTCATCTCAAACGGAGCAACATTTGATCCAAAGGCTGGCACCATTGTATCCTTGTTCAAACACGGGATGTCGTGGCAAGTTAAGGAACTGTCGCGCTGATCATTGAACATCTACCTACCTTCTGTCGTTGAGGACAACTACGACTACAAGCTCTAGTCTTCAGCATCCCATCGCAGCTGACAAAAGAAAGGGCTACGGTCGATCGATTCCGTTGGAGACGTACCGTCTGGCTCGAAGGTACCTACCATTGGATATACCGTGGAGAACGACCGATCTGGGAACGCTGGTTCGTTATACTGTAGCGATACGGCCGCGTACCAGCGTATGCGTCAGTGTGTTATTGTCCGCGAAGGAGCCGAACGAAGAATGACGAACGTGCGGCCTACGTGCTCCGCAGTTTTTATGCGGGCAATATGCCCGCACGCACAGCTCTTCCAAGAGGAATATAAGCGGTAAGTCCACGTCTAATGCCCGTAATCTCCACACCATGGGATCCACGTGGAGTTTATCATATGGCGATGTCTATTGTATTGCGATAGGAGCAATAGGAGCCGCGGCATTAAGGTAGGTCTCACAATCCTGTTTCGTATACATGCTCCATTCTACACATTTTTATCATAACGACGTTGATTCCTGTGCTTATCTTTGCCGTTTTACCTACGATATCCAGATTCTAAGGTAAGATCTTATTAAGGAAGATCAGTGTGGTCTTTCAGGTTTATCTATAACGATTCGTTTGCAGATGTTTTCCTCATTGCTGCCCGTGCCACGTGAAACGGAGTTACTGTGGGTCCCCTCTCGAAGTGTCAGTGCGTTTTGAGCATGGTAATCAATCAACTGGAGTGCCATTCGACGCCATCAACATCTTCGTATTCGCTCGCTTCGAAATAGCGGGTGAAGATAATCTGCCAGCTCGTATGTACTCTCTGCGCACTCTTCGAAGCACTACACAAGACGATTCTAGTGTGGAAGCGCCATGGATCGAGGGTGTACGCCAGTCGACAGATCAGCACCAACGCTCCATCACGTTCATGTTGAACGGTGAGCCTTACGATAAATGGTATTACCACTGGGAAAGCAGCTCTCACAAGATGCAGCGTGCCGCAAAACACGTGCTACGAGCCTACGTGCTGTACCAATTCCCATCCCGATCGACCGATTTTGAGAGGACACAATCTGCACAACAGAGTAGCCAATTACCAGATGACAAGCTCGATTTACTCTGCTTTGTGGATTCGCCTCCATTCACGTTGGTATCGTATCGTAGGTCGACTACGGGTGATTCGATCGAACCGAGAGGTAATTGTTCTAGATTGCAGCAAATGTGTGATAACGCAACTGCCACCACGTCACAATTAAAGACGAGAGCTGTACATTCAGAACCATGTCAGCAAATCCAGGTCTACGATTCTCGAACTTCACATGAGAGAAGGGGGCAACTGCATCAAACGGTAGATTCATACGAGACGCCTACACTGCCACAATCACAAGTTGACCACTCTCGATATCGTCAATTCCTGGAGCGTGAGGAGCTTGACTGCTGGCTAATGACCCAAGGCGACGCTGCACTTTCTGAGCCTGTGTTGCACAGCCATATCCAGTCTCAAGAACGGCGACTTGTGTTTCACAGAAAGAGGCAAAAACAGGGCTTGCAACACTTGGATGTCTGTGAAACTACACCCGAAGAAAACAAGAAAAACAGTGCCGGTAGTGCACAAGAGTCCGAGTTGATTAACGATACCCGCATTGCAACCCACCAAGAAAGAAACGATACGGACAGAACAGGTTATGTTGAGAATTCGCCTGCATCGCTGTCATTCAGACAATCAGATGAGAATGTTTGCCGTGCTGTGCAGCCGTTCGTGTCAAATCAACGCCAATCTGATAGACACGAATATCAGCTACAGCTGCTCACGGACTTGGCAGTGATTCACTGTTTTGTATCTCACTTCACAGCAAGCTTCCCAGTAGAAGTGGTGAACCTGGAGATGAAATGGGCGGAGGCTATATCTAAGCATTGGAATGTTGAAGCTGTGGAATCTATTCACCTCGCCAGATTGCTTGAAACACTTTTTCAAAGTCAAGCTACCAATCGAACTCCCAATTTCAAAGGGTCTACCCATCGTAGATTGGATGAAATCCTACCTCTGTTAGCCGAGATATGCGTTTGGACATTCTCGCCGACGAACTTTAAGTTTATCCGGACCCTGCTAACTGAATGCTACCCGCTGTTTGCCCGTTTCATTAATGGACACTCGGGTAATGACGACACTGGAAATATGTTCCGCACAACATTCTTAAATTGTGTAGAAAAAATCTGGATTTCTTTGGATGACTTCCTGCGTACCCAAATTTCAACGAAAACGACTGCCCGCGGTGTACGTGGCTTAAGCGATGCCATCTTAAGCGTCGTGTACACCAATCCTGTCCTGGAAGAACTCCGGCCTGTCTTAGAAGCTGTGCTCAACGGATCTACTTCCTGGCTTGATAACGAGATGAACTCGCATCGGTCGGGCGTTCCGCTTTGTAGCATCGTCGGCTGGCGAGGCTTTGTCGCCCAAGTGCGAGAAGGTTATCTGGTACGTGTGGCCGCTAAGGTGTTCGATCGAGATATTTGTAAAAAAAAAAATACTGAAGGAGTTTTGCAATGCATTTGTTGTGCATCGAACAGAGACAACAGTGTTCGACGCATGGGTTCCCTGTGCAGCATTTGGACGCACG